TTATAACCGCGTTTGATCTCTATCGCAGAAACTTTAAGACGACTTTTGTATCGCGGTCCGTAATAAATGCTTTTAAGTGGATACCTATTAATATAAGATACTATAATACTAGATCCGTTAATTACTTTACTAACTAAATCTCCTAATAAAGTAGAAAGTATATTTATTTAATAAACTTATTAATTACTATTAATATATTATTATACTTTACGTTAATTACTATATTTTTAAACTTTAATAATTTAATAATAAAATATATTATAATTAAACTTTATAATTATTTTACTATTAATAATAACTTTAGAAATCTATAAAGCTTATACTTCGTAACCCTCGTTTTTTCGTATATATAATATAATTAAATAATTTCCTTAACGTTATTTTTAATCCTTAGTTAATTAAAATACTACTTAATTTTTTCTATAATTTTTACGATACCTATATATCCTCCGAACTTCGATCCGTAAATCTCTATTATTAATATTATTCTATTACCTAGTATTATATACGCTCGATTCTTATACTATAATCTTCCCTAATTATTTTTTTTAAATATTTTATAGCTTTAACTTTTCCTATTAATATTATTCCGTAATATCGTTACTTAACTTCCTTTAATATTTATTAGAAATAACTTTTTTATAATATATTATATAATACTTTATTTATAACTATAGTAAATACTTAAAAATACCGTTTAGCGCTTCCTTAAATAATAATAGTAATTCCCTAAATATATTTTTATAGTAATCGGCCCGCTAATTAAATATATTTATTTTAATATTTTCCGAACCCTTTTTATAATTAATTTAAAAATTAAATTCCGAAAAAAACTCTAACTATCGTATTTACTATACGTTAAAGACCTTCGTAATAATAAAGTACCGTAAATTCTTATAATCTATATAAACCTATATTTTATATTTAATATTATTAAAGTATAACCTTTATTCCTCGAATATTTTAATAATAGTAAATAACTCTTTATTATAAATTAAATAGTTTTAACGTACCCCTTCGAGCTTCTTCGAAAAGAAGGCTACCGGGTATAGCTTACCGTCGTCGTCTCGCTACCCTAATTGTCCACCAATCGTATAGTCTAATATATCCGCCTCGACTTTAAATAGTCGATTAAAGTTTAATAATTTAAATACTAAGTCCTTTA